AATATATGATTTTAGTATCCAAAACACGTGAATTTCTGATATCCATGATTTTATTTAACGATTGAAATGGATCGTTAATTTAAACTTTGTTACGAACATTAACTTAAATTTATATCATCATTTTATGGAAGATCAAATGTAGGTGGAAACGAAATTGCTATTTTGGTTCTTTATTGCTTTTTGAAATTGTTGATTTATAGTACTTAACACATTCAATACTTTACAGTTATAATTAACGTTTATCTACATATATAAAAATAAACATGAACCACATTCGATATAGTATTGATTGTGGTTTATATGCCGCAAACAATTTCCTGTTGAGAATAACATTGGAATATTTCGGTGGCAAAAAGTATGATTACAATCGACCTCATAAAGTTTCTCAAATAATCATTAGATTAAATAAATTAGACGCTATGGAAATATTCCATATTGCAAATGCAAAACGATTGCATTTATATGCATTTGCACTTCATTGTAATTAGCAAGTCTGATTATGCAACTATTTGCATATTATATAATTTTCCAATACTTTTGTTAATTTATGGTTGATATTTATGAAATTTTCATTATAAATTAATAATATAAATTTATTTGATCATTACATAATAATTTATTATGTGGTTTATATAAACGCAAATTTATGGTTGGGGGGCGTCCATTTATCACGTGATCGATTTTTGAAAAAAAATTGGACCTCCCTTCTCCTTGGTGATACGTGGCGATATTCAAAATTAACCCCTCTTCTTCAGGAAACATCAAGTGAATTTCTGGTTACAAGAAATAATGATAAAAATTTTGAATTTTTTTTAAAGTGTTTTGATTTTTTTTAAATTCAGGTAAAGAATAAATACAGGTGATATCGAACTATACCCCTCCCTCCTCACGTGATATTTTGTAATTTTTTGTCAAACCCCCCTTCTCCTAAAAACCTGATGTGATTAATGGACGATTCCTTTGGTAATAATAAACTTCTTCATTATTCGTAAAAATATTCATTTTTTATATAATAATATATTATGCTATTTTTAATGCTTTAAGATAAATGTCAGTTTATGTTTGGTTCATATCAGCTTTTTCATTTTTATAGATTTATTTATTCGTCATAGAACCTCATCAATTCAAATGCTATAACAATATAATTGTTTCTGAATAAATATCTTTTGCTCGAGTTGTTTCTCAAATATTATAGCTTGCATTCTTGGAAATATATTAGTTATATCTAATTTGTATTCGGATTCGAATCTACGTCATCTTAGAAAGACGTCATCCAAATATTATCCTAGTTGGAATAAAAGCACACTCTGGACCACGTGGAATAGGCTCTTGATAAATCTGCAAGGCCGTAACCTATGGCATATTTGGGAAATTGCCAAAAGAAACTTTTCCCCGAAAGGAAGATGCTGATTTGAATTGGAGAAAATGTCGAATTATTTTTATCTCGATACTCGTGTTTTTAGTATTCAACTTACAAGTACTATAGTTTTAATAACATTTGCCGAGATCCTTTAGATCATTTTTTTCAAATAGGGTCTTTCAAAAATTCATTGGTTGACAAATTATCTTAATTCTAGGCAACTTGTGGCAATTATTTTATTATTTGCGACTGCGGTGCCAGAAAAGTGTTGATTAGGATTACAGCTTCAAAGTTTAAATGAACAAAAATGCTGAAAATTAATCACAATAACCGAGAAATGGTTACAGTTACACGAAAGCTCATAGGGGTTACTTAATGGCTCATAAATTTCGAACTGCAACGAGAAAAAAAATTCATGATAGTTACAATCTATCCTGTTACACTGAATATATTTCTATCTCGGGTACATAATTGATAATATTTATTTAACATAATTTAATAATTGTGTTTTTGCTTGTTTCTATATTGTTTGTTATTTTTGTAATGTTAATACAACATTGCATATTGCACATCCTCATACCATGATACATTGTTTCATTTATAGATATTGTATATGATAATTTATTTGCCACTGGAAGAGAACTAAAATTTTAGCCGAAACGTAAGGATATCAAACATATAAACTTATAAAGATACAATTATAAATACTTATAAATATACAATTTTTATTGATGTAATGAACATTATAATTCAACTCACATATTTTAACAAAGTCTAATAATCGGGCATATTAGACTTTACTTCTTTATCTATCGACTCTACATTTATTATTATGGGTGTTTCATGACGTAACGTTTAAGCGGACAGTGTCGTCGAATTCAAGCCCCCGTACTCGACAACCTGATATCGTGCAGTAGCAATGTCTATTTTCAGTTGAAAATATAGATCAAAAATACATTTCCATATCTAGCTACACAGTCGCAAATAATAAAATAATTTCCAATTAAAAATAACGCATTTCGGTCACTGCGACAATGAAAAATCTGTCACATTATTCTAATTTGAATCGAGTTGGAGTCTAACTCAACTTTCGGACATGCCCTAGAGCAGTGTACCTATAATTTTATTACATGTATTATTAGTTTAAATATTATTAGACTCTACATATTTTGCATCCCCCAAGGAAGTGACAACCCAAAAAATGTCAGAAATCTTAATTAATTAAACTTGAACCCTAAAAATTGTCACGACTTAAATTTTTATAGTTTAATTAAATAAAATAAAAATACAGAAAAATGACGCAAGTCAAAATAGGCGCGAGTTTTGAATTGTTCTTTTGAATCCAAAACGCAAGTCAAAAAAGCTGCCGCATGTTTCATCTAACGGAGCAATCTGCAATTAGTTGAAAATTATAAGTTCTTAATTTTTTTAATGCATTTGTGTAACAATTTATAACATTTTTATAATTTAACAATCACTATCATCGATTTTTTTTAACATTGTTTAACAGCAATCAGAACTTATAGTTGTTCTATGGCTGTTTGATTCAATATCAACTCAAGTAGTATTTTACTTGATTATAAAAAGTTGTCATGGTAGATAACCCTCCAATGAGGATCACTATTACTTAAAGAAGATCTGCTGATTTTTTTCTTCTTCAGTCTTCTGGATTGGGAGTCCAACAGCATCGGTTGTATGATAGAGTTTATGTGGTTATGAAGCCGGACAAAATGGGTTATATTTTTTTTTGCTGATCGCTTCTTGTACTGTTTCCATATGGAGGTCATTATGCAGGATTTTATTAGATAAATACCCGGACGCTCTTGTGATGAGTCTTGAAGTTTTTGATTGTTGTCTCTGTAAGGCCTTGATTCTTGTTTTGCTGGGGCATTCCCAGAGCTCGACTCCATAGGTCCACATGGGTTTTATAACAAATTTGTAAATAAGATAGGATAGCTTGGAGTAACGTCCTATTAGCCAATACAGTGACCTGACTTTGCTTCGCAGCTCTTTTATTTTTAGTTTTTTTTTTGTTGTATCCGGTTTAGTTTTTGGTCCAAATAAATACTGAGGTATTTGATAGTGGATATCATTGATATTTCAATTATTATTATTAGAACGATCCGCCACAGTGAATTTAATAATGAAAATGCAATGATCACTTCATAAAATTTATATAACAACATTTTATTGTGGAATGAAACTAAGGTTAAAAGTTTGTTTTAACTAACCTAATATTATTATTGTCAAATTGTAGAATATACAGTGCCGTGTAGTGCATTTACTAGATCTAATAAGTTGAATTAATAAGCAATAACTACCTATGTGTATGTCGGTGAATATATTGTATTGTGTTTATACCTTTGTATAATTATTGTAGTTATAATTAATGTCATAGTCTGTTATCTTTAGTTTGATGTAACGTTGATTATATTTAAGTATTATTGTTCGCCAATTGCTAGTGTGCTAGATTACAAGGTCAATTAAACAATAATAAAAAAATTATAACAAACTATTTTAAGGTGACCATATGTCGCGGATTGGCCGGGACCGTCCCGATTTTCCGCCTTGCGTCCCGGCATTTTATAAAAGCAATATTTGTCCCGGTTTTAGGTGTTTTGTCCCGGATTTTTAAAAATGTTTTGATTGCCAATATATTTTCAAATATATTTCAACTAAAAAATTTGAACCCAAAAAATGTGCATATAAGTTTTTAGCTCACCAACACTCTCCCCATCGCTGTCACAGACATTCTAATCCGTCCCGGATTTCATGCAAAAAAATATGGTCACCTTAAGGGGGGTATTCTAGTGTAGAGCGATGAATTTCGGGTCATTTTTAAAGTGTCGTAAAGGAAAGCAATGAATGTTTTTACTATCAATTTTTTACCATTTGTTTATTAATATCATTAAGATACAAAACAAAAATTGAAAAATAAAAAAGTTAAAAATTGTAAAAACTGGCAACTGATGAAGTGGGTGGTCTCAAAAAATTGGCATCTGAGTCTTGACATGATTTCAGCCCTCCTAGCCATCGGAAATGCAAAAAATAAAAATATTATTATTCTACAATGATGTCGCAATCGGCTGAACTAGCGATGAGTAAAAAAAATTGTTTTTCACAAATTGGCGACTGTTTGAAAAAAAAAAAAAATTTTTTTATTGTTTTTTTGAGTTTCTCGAATTTTTAAAAAATAGTAAATATAGGAATTTCGGGATGATTCTAGTTCAGACTATAGATAGATCTATAAACAAGACTATCTGAAAATTTCAAATAAATTGGTCGAGTAGAACTCCAGAAATCGTGGAAAGAGTACTGAAAAAGTAAGTTCTGAGAAAAACGCATTTAAAGTTTTGCGTGAAGCCAAACCAGTATGGAGACCGAGTCAGTAAAATGCCTATATCTCCAAAAATAATTCATATTTTCAAAAACCTTTTTGTACTTATATTCTTAGATAGTAAATATGAAATAAAAAAAAAATCTATTTTTTTGAATTTCTACACTAGAATACCCCCTTAATTATTTAAACAAAACTAATATTAATACATATATTCTTTTCCGCGCTCAACAAAAATGTTTTTGTTTGAAAATATAAATATCACCAGCTCTGGCTTATATACATTTTTTGTTCTTTCCCCAGTTATGTGCCTCCTAGACTCTGGGGATTCAGCGGGCACGTGCAGACGATCGTGCACAGCATAGTGGGCCGCGTCAAGTGCCCACTGCCACTCGGAGAGAGGGTGTACCTGTCACTGGCTGATGGGTCGACGCTCACTTACGATCTATACAAAGCTCTTAATCCGGATAAACATGAAGGTAAATTTATTTTTGTATTCATTATTTAATACGATCTGCCAATTAATTAATTGGAAAGAGAATTATGTTGGAATGAGAATTTCCTCGGTTGGATGAAAACTGTAGAACACATGCTAAAACCTAGTAGGTAACCAAAACATGACGAATAGACATGACGAGTATGGGTGGGTGGTAATTATGTTAAGGAACTTAAATATTATTCTTACTTATTTTCAAAAAAAAACATCACGAAAAAATATAATAAAATCAGTTATATTTTTAAATAAATCAATTTATTATGTTGATTTCATTCCCTCTTTTAGTACCTGTTTGTAGTCACGAGCTAAAATCTAGTAGTTGACCATATATTGTTTGTCAGATCAGAAACAGAAATATATAGTATGGGTGGGGGCTATAATTATGTTAAGTAACTTAAATATTATTCTTTTTTTTCAAAAAAATACATGACGATTAAATATAATAAAATCAGTTGTATTTTCAAATCAATCAACTTTTATTAATTATTTCAAAACTTTTCATTCATTCATTCTCAGTATGATAAATTATAGTAATCGAAAAAAAAACGAAAATATGTTTTTTATATCTTTACGTGTGAAAGTTTTCTGAACATTTTGGCATACCTTAGGAAAAAATTGAATGATTCACAAAACGTTCTCTTGTATTGACTAAATGGAGATTGGGTTCAACAAAGGTCCAGCGGTTTTTGAGTTACAGAAAAAAAGGTAATGTAAATCGTCATTCTGCGGTCAAAAATGATTACTAGACATATGCACATCAAATTATCAGATATTTTATAGAGTTTTCAATAATAAGTAAAAATTTTGTTTCCATTTCTTTGGTTCCGCACCAAGATTTATAATATTCAAAGTTTACCTATATAATTCGAACAAATGTTCTCGATATTATCCACAGAATTGATCAACCGACTTGAATGGTTTCAAAATTTTCCAGAAAATTCGATATTTTTAAAAAATTCAAAAATTTTCAAGATTTTCATTTCATTTTTAACTCATTTATATTATCTTTTCAAAAGTTTCAAGAAAATTCCAAAAAAACTTCTAAATTCTCAAAAAATCTTTTAAATTAAATTAAATTACGTTTCGGAAAGTTCCAGCAATTTACTTTGAGGCACGATTCCATGCACCACTATTTTGCTTTTAACTATATGTAATGTTAAGTTTTCGGAAAGTTGCAGCAATTTGCCTTGAGGTATGATGCCATGCACCACTATTTTTTTTACTATTGGTCTTGTTAACTTTTTTTTGTATTGTATGAAATTATGTACCTTTCTATATTTCTTTGTACGTAATATTGCTTTAGTCACTAAAGTTTGATGTGTCTATTTGGTGTTGGGTATTTTGATATAGACAATTTTTGTAAAAATAAATATTCGAAATAAGGTGGAAATCCGGGACTGTCCTGCCCCCCAATCAAGGAACTATTGTCATCGTATTCTTGCTATAGTTTACAATTGGATATTTATATGGGTCACAAATAATTGTAATTTGATTCAGGCACACATTAGAACAATAGGTGTTTACAACTGGTGAATATGTTTTTTTTAAAAAAAAAACATGTAATTGTAATACTTTTACTTCTAAATTTGCGATGTTCAATTAACTTCCTGCTCATCAATTTGAGCTGCATTTTTTTTGAGTTCTAAAACATTTTTTGAGATATAATTTAAAGCTTTGTGTGTTGCATACAAACAAGTCAGTCTATGATTATTTCTAATAATACATGTTATTTATTTTTCAAGACATTTATATAATCACAAAATTTAAATTTAATATATCAAAATTGAAAAGGCTTACTACAGGGTAATCTTTTAGATCTAATGTTTAATATTTCATATATCATCAAAATTACTGAATGTCTTCCTTTTTGTAAAGACAGATTGTAATTCAATGAAGAGAAAAAAAATTCAAGACAAATACAATAGAAAATACACATAATGATATCCCAGATAACTTATTTATTGAATAATAGTTGTCAACCACAGATTCATCTCATATATCTTTTTCCAGGCACGTGCTGATATCAAATTCATTGAACTATATAATATTTTTTGTTGTTCACGTTTTTCTGCGTTGTAAGCAAACATGGGGCGAATTAAATTTTATTGATGTGAAAACACGTGCTCAATCACAATGAATTATCACATAATGAAAAATGAAAATGAAACTTCTTCATTAACTAAATTAATTTACTCTCCTTACTTATGTATAAATTTTTTGTATGAGATGTTAAATAATTATGTGTTTGGGTTTTATGCTAAATCCAATGCACGGTAACAATTAAAACACCAAGGTGCTAAAAAATTTTACTTATACTGTATTTTATCGTTTAATAACCTTTGGCCTTGCAAAACATTAAAGTCTCATAAATTATTGATGGTTTCATAGTTCGTCTTCACTTTATACCAGTTTGCCAACTGTGCCCTTAACCTCAGTCTATCGATTTATCTAATTAGACTACAGCAAACATATAAACATATTTTATGAAATTACCATAAAACTTCAGTAATCAATATCAATGTATGTAATATGATATCAAGCTGTTTCTAATGATAAATGCTAATCTAATTAATTGTACTTCTATATATCAAATTATGCTTGAAATTATCAGATAAGATGTCTGAAGAATGTAGAATCACTTCCATGTAATTCTTCATGACGAATTATTGATTTTAAAATATCTATATTATCTATGAATAATATAATTTGTCTATAAAATTTGATAGGTACTGGAGTGTCATTATATTATTCATATATAATTGGAAAATAATTGGATATCAATAGACAATCACTCTTTGTTTATTCATTCACTATCGTAATCGAATACTGTAGTAGAATAAATATATTTGTTCATATTTTGATTGATTTAAATTGTTCTGGTGTTGAAGAATTCCAAATAATGCTTTAACGCAATTTTTTATAGAATTTTATAATATGACATACATGCAATACATGTATATTTTGAATTTATATATACAAACACATGTGCTATGTTCCAGATATTGTATTTTATAATAACTTTCAAGAATTTTGCCTATATAAAAATAAGAATCATTTTATAGCAATGTCATGCTTTTATATTACATGCAATTATGTGAAGAATGAATTATTTTTTAATTGTAAAATGTAACATGTTGATTCAAATAATTATGCGTTATAGTTATATCAGAAAATTGTAGAATAACCTTTTTAATTAACACTTACCTATTGTTTTAGAAATATTCTACTAAAACCTTATAGTATAGAAATAAATGTTTATTATACACACATATATTCTATCAGGGGGTGTTCCATGTCGTAACGGTTAAACGCACTGCCTTGTGTGGTTATGGTCGCGAATTCGAACCCCACTCTCATAACTTGATATCATGCAGTAGTGATATCAATTTTCACTTGAAGACATAGATCTAAAATATTCTTCCACTTGAAAATAGCCTCTTTCGGGCACTATTGTGTGATATGGCAATAGGAAAACTCTTACAGTATCTTTCACTGAATCAAGTTCGCTCATAAGTCACTAGGGCAGTACTACCCATTATTATTTATATACTACTATGAATTATCTGAAAACATATTTTATTGCTAAGAGTCAAGCCAATATAGGTGAAGATTTTGCAGAAACTGTTAAATTAATTATTATAATTATTTTTAAAGCCTTTATAATAATCACTGTTCAGCTTCAAGAGATGAAAATTTTTCTTCAGATGGGTTAGGTTTGATTTATTTCAGCTTTCTGGGCTGAGGTATTTTTGTTTTTCGCGAATTCTAAAAAATATAGCATATTAATTGATTTTTATTTTTAATTTATGCCTAGTAATTAATTAGTGCCGTTAATATTACAAAATTCATCGATATCATTTTGTATCCTAATTTAAAATACAGGCAATATATTTCTTGAGCTGTTGTTAACCACGAATTGTTTCATATTCAAGCAAATTCAAGTAAAATCGTACAATTTCATTTTTGCACTAATCATTATTTTTGATGAAAGAGGTAATCCAAACATATTTTAAACAAATACATAAAATAAATAATTTTTTAATTTAATATTTTATTAAAAATACTTAATTGCTTTCCTTAGGGCTTTAACCTTTCTTTAATACCAACCTAAAATATTCTGGTAGATAATGTACTAACCTATTTTATTTTGGTAGCTGTTTGTGTAAAAACAGATTTCATACAAAATAATTGGAATAAAACATTCCAGACTAGACCCATTTATATCTATCAAATCATCGTCTGTCGTCATATCATGTTGTCAAGCCATTTTCATATTATAATCTCTAACACAATAATATAAGGCTTGTATTCATTTATGCTTGTTGACTAGAGAGTGGGTCAAACGTAGGTTAAGTCTATATTAATGATTTATTATTTGAGTCTGTTGTGGTGTAATGGTTAAGAACATGGGCTATCACAAACTAGTCCGGGGTTCGATTCCAACTTTGGCCAGCTCGATATCAAGCAGTATTTTACCAAATTTCTACTTGAAGTAATATACGTGTATTGTCTATGTATATATATCTGGTATATATATATATATATATATATATATATATATATATATATATATTGCCGCAATACCTACGAAAAGCGAATTTCGCTTGAGATTATATTTTAAGATATACCTAAATTTTATACTTAAAATATAATCTCAAGTGAAATTTGCTGTTCGTGGGCATTGTTGCAACATATATATCAGGCAGATATCCATATCCAATACACATATAGCGACCGATTCTGCTGCACAACAGACCAATGTTATGGCAAGGCCATGTTACGCTCCAACTTCCATACATTATGCTACTGAATCATACTGAATACTGTCAAAATGTCATGTTCATTATACATTATATTGTTATACATAAACTGCAACGTCACTCGTATGTTATGAAGCTGGGTCAGAATGGACCCTGGACCCTGTTATCTAAAATCGTTTTTTGGCATTTGTGCGATTTCTAGTTTAGGTTTTTTATCTGACAA